TTAACACGCATTACCCAATTTAGTCAGAACTTGACTCCAAAGATCAGGGCCAGTGATCAGGGATTAGGAATCTCCAGCTGGTGTTCTCTTTTCAGGGGCAGCCTTTTCCAGGTGAATGCCATCTCCAGATGGTGTCAGCCAACCTCCTAGCTCCTCTCCTGCTCCCTCACTGGAGAAGGGAAGAACTGGGCTGTCTCTGTAGCCAGAGTCACCCAGGCACGGACACATTCATTGCCTTCTTCCGCCTTTGGAGATCGTCCATTCTGAATCTTGGACATCTGAACATGTCTCCAGGGTCCTCATCCCTCAGATACCTCACATCTTTGAATGGTTCTCTGGAAGCACTTGACCGTCCCCACTCCCTTTCTTTGGGCGACTCCAGTCACTTTCAGAAATGAGACTTTCACATGAGGGCGGAGGAGAGGGCACTGCTGAGGCAGCTTGGAGGAGGTAATTTGGGGGTAGGTAGCGATTCTCTGAGTGGTGCATAAAGTTAGTGCTCTCGGCAGCTAACGGAAACGGGGGAGGTTTGAGTCCACCCAGAGGTGCTGTGGAAGAAAGGCCTGGTGATCTACTTCTGAAAAAATCAGCCACTGAAAAACCTCCTGAGCACAGTTCTCTGAAACTCATGGTGTCGCCACGGGTGGGCGCTTCTGCCACCCCTGCAGATTATGCTGTGTAGCAAGGCCCAGCTTTTTCTTGGGGTAAACTTTGATGTAAGATATTTTGAGTTGGACAATCACAATAGCCTCCGTTGGAGGTATATCCGTGCACTGTTGTGTAAATGGGGGTGCAAAGGACATATACAATGAGACAAACTATGCTTTTAAAGCAATTTGATAAATACGAGTTTTTGAAAGTGTTCACCACAATGCATCTCAATACAGTGCACTGCCATGGAGTCGGGCCCGACTCATAGCAACCCCTCCTTGGGTTTCTGAGGTGGTATCACTATGGAAGTAGATTGCCCCATCTTCCTTCCGAGGAGTGGCTGGTGGGTTCGAAGCGCCAGCCTTCTGGTTAGCAGTCAAAGCCTTAGGCACTGCAACACCAGAGCTTCCCACCAGAATGCAGAAATTAAAAACAAAAAAAAAAAAAGAAAAGAAAGATGAAAGGCCTGAATGTTAGAAAGATTAAGTAGTGAATCAGAATGCGTACTTTCCTCTCGAAAGAGCAAATCTGTAATAAACTGGCTAAGGGATAATGCCCCCATGGCTTTCCCCTCAGCCATTTATCTTTCCAATTCCAGTGACTGGAAGATGACTTTGTGCCTAGGGACAGCGAGCAGATCAGATTAATTGGTGCCGACTCAAGGCTGCTTCTATTATCTGTCCGTAGAGAGATTTGCAATCAAGATGCTTGGAGCAGAATCCCCGTGGAAAGAGCTGCCTCGACGGGCTTGCAGGAGCTCTGGGCTGCCCTTTGCAGTGTCTCAGGGCTCCAGCTGCCAGCAGGCTCCTCTCTCTGTCACTTTCCACTCCCTCTTCCTGCCTTCTCCCTAGCTTGTGCAGAGCAGGGAAGGCAGCAGGTATGGCACGTGCGGTGGGCAGCTGACGAGAAGCCCTCACTCAGGGTATCTTCTCTTCTAAAGGGATGTTTGCTTTAAGAGATCTTTCATTAGCATCTCAGTTTGGTTGGGTCCCCCATATGCCCAGCTCACTGCCTACTCAATGTTGTTGTTGTTGTTGTTATGTGCCGTCGAGTCGGCCCCGACTCATAGCGACCCCTCCTTGGGTTTCCGAGGCAGTATCACTACGGAAGTAGGATTGCCCAACCTTCCTTCCGAGGAGTGGCTGGTGGGTTTGAACCGCCAGCCGTCTGGTTAGCAGGCAAGTGTCTTAGCCACTATGCTACCAGAGCTCGCCTGTATTTTCTGTTTTCATAAAGATATCTTCACTGGAGCATGATATAGTGTTGTTGTTGTTAAGTGCCATTGAGTTGGACCCAACTCATAGCGACCCCTCCTTGCGTTTCTGAGGCAGTATCACTACGGAAATAGATTGCCCTGTCTTCCTTCCAAGGAGTGGCTGGTGGGTTTGAACCGCTAGCCTTCTGGTTAGCAGTCAAGTGCCTTAGGCCTATGCTACCAGAGCTCCTGCATGATATATTATGACCACCTTAAAGGAAAGCTCTTTAAAACAAAGACAGTCATCCATGATCCTACTTGCTTTCTCTAACATGGCTTAGCCGCACTTTCGTTCTCTGAGCTTGATAGATTGGCAGGCAGGCCTGGGCATAGGCCTGAGTGTGCTGTTGTTAGCTGCTCTTGCGTCGGCCAGCCCCTGCCTTGTGGCGATCCCGTGCACAGGAGACTGAAGTTCTTCTGGTCCTGCACCGTCCCCGTGATCGGTTGCAGGTCGGATCATTGCAAGCCACAGGGTTTTCAGTGACTGATCTCAGAAGTAGATTGCCAGGCCTTCCTTCTCAGTTTGTCTTAGTCTGGAAGCCCCAGCGAGACCTGCTCAGCATCGTAGCAACACGTAAGTCTTCACTGACAGCTTGGTGGTGGCTGCACTTGACGTAGGCTGTCTAGGAATCAGACTTGCGTCTCCTGTGGAAGGGAAGAGTTCTACCACTGAACCACCACTGCCCGGCAGTTGTGAGTATATATACAAACGTAGAAAACAAATGCACAGATACACGCTTTGTTGTGTACTTATCCTCCTGGCACTCATGTGCAAATTCTTACCATCAGCCCTATCACCTTTCTACTCCTGACGGCCTGTGGAAGGAAGAAAAGTTGCAGAGCCAAACAGACTTTTACTGTGAATCCTGTCTCCACCACGTAGTAGGTGTGTGACTTCAGGCAAGTCTCTCATTCGTCTGTCAGTTAATTAGTCTACCCACTCGGCTGTCCTCCCTGCCTGCCTTCCTCTCTCCCATCCAAAATACTCATCTGTGTTTACTACATGCTGGATGGGCAGGGGATCTGTACAGTATTTTCCCATGCATAGACTAAGTGGTGCATAGTAGGTAGTGCTGCTACGAGGAGCAGTTAGATAATGCATTGAAAGGACTCAGCAGCAGAGTGCCTGGCACAGAGTAGGATGCTCAAGAAATGGTGTGTGTGGTCAACTGGCAAGTCCCATCAGTACTTTTGCTGCAGTGCCTCTGGTCTCTATTACTATTTCTTAGCAGCCTGAATGTTGTTAGGTGCCATCGAGCCTGAGTAATGATGGGCAATTACGTTCATACCTGGATGATGCAACAATAGACTTCTTACTTACGACGCCAGATCTATTCCATTAACTCCTTCCTATCATCCCCATTTACCTTTCTAAAGCACAGTTTTTGTTCATTCATCACTTTGTTCAAAAATTTTCAGTGCCTTTTAATGGTTCTCAAAAAGATTCTGAATTTCTTGTTGGCTGTTCAAGGTCCTCTAACTGTTCTCTGAGCACGTGGCTCATGTCCTCGGGATCTGGGCTCTCAGCAACCTGCCATCTTCGCTTCTGTCTTCATCTACTGACAGGTGTGCAGGGAGTTATCATAGGAGCTACCTATTCCATGGGGACCATGAGCCGCAGAGTTGAAAAAGTCTTGTCTTTTGCAATAAAGACTTGCCCAGTATTTCTGAGGACATACTTGTCCTATTCTTGGCATCTTGTTATTATTCAACAAAGAACAATGAAGTAGTAGATCGAGCCCTTTGGAGCACCTCCCTTCCTCATCTTTTCATTCCATTTGTTTGCAAATATCTACAACAAGACATCAGGCTTCAAGGAAGAATAGCTCACTTGTTTTTTTTTCGCTGCCACATCAAAATCTCACAGGGTATTCCTTATTAATTTCTAAAGTTAACAATAAATTCTTTTGTTGAAGAAGTTCAGGATTATTTATCAAAAGCATGTTGAATGGAAAATATTTGCTGTGTATTGGATTTTTCTCAGTTTGCGTGGCCTCCAGCACCTGTAACAAGAAAATGGATACAAGGAGTTAGGAGAGTCGCCCACTATTTTCACTTCAGAGGGCTGTGTTTTATAGGTTGGGTTTATGTTGTAATGAGTTCCCTTAAATTAGAAATTCTGCTGAGGAAGTCCTGCAATGTAAGTTTAGGAATGCCTAAGCATTATTTATAATCAGCAATTATTTGTATTTTATTTTAGGTATGTATTTATTTTATATATTTTATTTCAATGAGCCATTTGTGGTGCAGTGGTTAAGTGCTGAGCTGCTGACCAGGAAGAAGGTCAGTGGTTTGAACCCATCAGCTCTCAGGAGAAAGATGTGACAGTCTGCTTCTGTCAAGATTACAGCCTTGGAGGGCTTCCACTCTGTCCTGTAGGGTTGCTGTGAGTCAAAATTGACTCATCGGCAGTGGGTGCATATATTTTATTTCATCCATAAAGTAAAACATTTGTATGTGTATTTGGAGGTGTGGGACAGTGCAAACCCACTGCTGTTGAATTGATTCCAACTCATAGTGCCACTATAGGACAGAGTAAAACTGCACCATAGAGGTTCCAAGGCTATAAATCTTTACTGAAGCAGACTGCCACATCTTTCTCCTGCAGAGTGGTTGGTGGGTATAAACCAGTGAACTTTAGTTATCAGCTGAACTCTTAACCACTGTACCACAAGGGTTCTTGTTTGTTGTTATGAGCCGTTCAGTGGGTTCTGACTCATTGCTACCCCATGTACAACAGAACTTAACACTGCCCAGTCCTGCGTCATCCTCACAAGTGTTGCTATGTTTGGGATGATTCTTTGCACCACACAGTGCAAAGAACTTTACATGTTGATTGCTGGCTTATGCCTTGGGGAGGTGTCTCACGGTGGCAGGACCTGCAGGTGAGGTCTGCATGGCCCGCGTCAGCCCTGGATTTCTGTGATTCTATTATTTATGAGTCCAGTCAATACTAAATACTGCTGAGTCTCGAATGAAATGCCTCTGCTTGCTGTTTACAGGCTTCTGTCGGTAGTGAAATGAAATTGACAAAACAAAGCTTGTGTATTAAATACAGACTGTTCTAATTGGAGTTTTCTTTTCTCTCTACCAGTTTGCTGTTTTGTGGTTCACAAGAGGTGCCATGAGTTTGTTACGTTTTCTTGTCCGGGTGCGGATAAGGGACCTGACACTGATGTAAGTAGTCTGGAAACCATGGTTTGATGTTAATGCCCATTTTCTGTCCTCAGTGTTCTTCGTGTCTCTCCAACCATTGCTTGGCACATACTGTTGATGGGAAGACTTCTCAATCGGTCTGATAGGATGCTGGCTTGAACTAATGAACTAATGCAATCCTTTGGAGACCTGGCAGGGACTACTTAGAGATCAGGAGAGAGTCCCTCAGAATGTGTACTGGTCCACCCTTACTTCGTGGACTCAATCCACCCCATTCAGCCCACAAACACAATGTAATTCTTCTCTGAAAACAATGATAATTTTTGCAGTAAACAAATCACCTTTCTGTTTCTTTCCAATGGTTTATTAACTAATAGGACCATCACTGCTTGTGGCCGACGTAACAAATGACTCCTAGTTCGCTTTGTGAGATCCTTGCTGTCTTTTCATTATGCATTATAAATGCTACTGTTGATTGGAATAATTTAACATCTGTTTCACTGAACAACGATCTCTGAAGCTGTCCATGTGTGAACACATAATTTAGTTCATTTGTTTCCTAATTCTGCCCGTCTGTATGGAGCGTCTCTATTACATCTCTTGCTTATTGAAAAACGAGACCAGCACAGGAGAATGGGAGTTAGGAGGCGTGGGAAATACTAATATCTGAAATGTTTTGAGTGGAAGGAAACTTTGGCTCTGTGTTATCTGAAGAGTAATACTCAAGCTGAAAACGTTTGGGTGGGAGAGAGGAGGTGGCCTGGAAAAGTAGCCATTTCAATTGGATTCTGAAATACTTTTGCTGGATAACTTTAGTCACTCATATTAAACTATGTGTTCAAGTGATTTCTTCTTTTAGTGCCAATTCTCCGTTGGGAGACTTTGATTTTGAAATGGCTTTGTCCTGTTGGTTTTGATTCACAGCGACCCTATAGGCAAAGAGTAGAATTGTACCTTAGGGTTTCCTCCTAGGCTGAAATTTTCACAGGAGCAGATTGCCAGCTCTTTGCTCCCATGGAGGTGCTGGTAGGTTTGAACCTCTGACCTTTTGTTTAGCAGCTGACTGCTTAATCACTGTGCCACAGGGCTCCTTCTCTGAGTGCAAGCAGAACTAATCGTTCCCTTCTTAGAAGATGGCGAATCCATGGTGGCCTCTGAGATTCCGATTTGCTTTGATCTAACACCAGTAATGAAGGAACTTAGGAGTCCCTAGGTGGCTTGGCTACTAACGGACAGGGTGGAGGTTGATGTCCATCTATAGGTACCTTACAAGAAGGGCCTAGTGATCTACTCTAAAAGATGCCAGCCATTGAGGCCGTGTGGAGCACAGGTCTGTCTGACACACATGGGATTACCATGAGTCAGAATCAATTTAGTGGCCACTGGTTCAGTTGTTTTTCGGTATAAAGAAGGACTTTGCCATTAGGCACTCAGTGCATGGAGTCCTGCCTCATTTCAGTTAGACATGGCTGAGACAGTGTCCAGTGAGTGCCACGGCTCTGAAGCACCATTGGCCCTGAAAAGACTCTTGGACGTGGAAGCCATAGGGAATCTCAGAGGTCATCTTGGTTTGCAGCCTCACTTTCTAGGACCAAGAAGCCAAAGTGTATGGATGCTGAGTGACTCACCCAAATGCACACAAAGTTAGTGTCATCCCCATCCTCCTTTTCCATATTTCACTTTTTGTTTTTCTTTTTTTAGTGGAAAATTGCCTCCGTTTTGGTCATTTGGACATATATTAAATGGGATGTTAGAGTATTCATTTTTCTGAAAGGCCCAAGTCCAGTTCTCCAGGTTTAAAGTTGGCCACAAGCATCTGTGGTGGTCCTTTCGCCACCTCGCTCATTAGTTCTGTCCTCCTCCCATTCCGGGTTTCTTCCTTTCTCTTCTCTTCTGCCTCCTTAAGAATTGGGAGGCAGTGCAGGTAGGTGGCAGAAATATGAACAATTCTTGACCTTCTTCTCCCTTCTTTTTCCTTTGTCTTCTTCCCACTCCTTCATTCTTTCAATTAAATAATCTTTATTAAATACTTCTTATGGGTGGCACAAATGGTTAAGCACTCAGCTACTAACAGAAAGGTTGGAAGTTCAAATTCACTCAGAGGTGCTTCGGAAAAGTGGCCTGGCAGCGTACGTCTGAAAAGTCAGCCATCGAAAACCTTGCGAGCGCAGTTCTGCTCTGACACACAGGGGGTCGCCATGGGTCAGAAGTTGAGGTGACAGCAGCTGTTTGCTTGTTTGTTTATAGGCCAAGCTCTGTGCTGAGCCCTGTAATACAATAACAAGCACAGAGATGGACTCCTTGTCCTGTGGACATTCTGCTATGAGAAAGCAAATATTTGAAAATAAATCCATACATACAGTTTTGATAAGAGAAGAATTATGTAGCATGTTCTGATTGGGTTTCCTTAAGGGACCTGTTTTAGATTGGGAAGGGAATAGAGGACAGGCATTCAAACAAAACTTCAAGAATGAATGGGAAACAGGCAGGAAGAAGTAAGGAGCCCAGGAGAAGACAGTTGCAGACAAAGGAAAGAGAGTGTATGAAGGCCTGGACGGGGAAGGAGTTCAGTTCATGAGAGAAACTAACACGGCTGGGCCTCAGATGTCTGGCTAAGGATTTTGGACAAGATCTAGCATGGAATCCACCAGATAGTTTCAAGCTAGGAATGGTGTTATCTCATTTGCATCTTATAAAGTTTACTGTGGTTGGTAGATGATGGATTGGATATGAAGTAGGTGGACATGAGGTTGGAGTTGGGGAAGGATCAAAGGCTGGAGACCCAGAACAAAGGCCCCTACTCTTCAGGGCAAGATGATGGGAACTGGGAGTAGGTGGGGGCAATGGGATTAGCAAAGTGAACTCATTTGAGATACATCAGAAGTCAGATGGACAGCTGTTGGTCATTGTGGGATCTGGGAGGTGAGGGCATTGAGAATGACTCCTGGGTATCAGGCCTGAACACCTGAATGGATAGAGGTACTTTAAGTCCAGAGGGATTCTGGGGGATGATAATATTTGGAAGAGGCAAGATGGACCACAGTAAGAGTTTCACTTTGAAAATGTTTGCTTTTAGTTGTCCGACATTAACAGGACAGCAGAAGACATAAAGTTGGAGGTCCGAAGTGAGGTGGCCTGAAGGTCATGATGTCTGTTCTTTCCAAGGCTTGAGAATGGATCACCTTGCCTAGAGAGAGGGTGTAGTGTAGGAGCAGAAGGGAAGAGGACCCAGAGAGCGCTCTGAGGAACCCCCAGCAGATTGAGTGGGAAAGACAAGAAAAGGAATCTAAGGAGAAGCACCCAGAGGAGGAAGAGGGAAACAAGGAGAGTGCGATGCTGATTTTAGTTTCCTAAAGGAGCAGTAGGCAGTGCTTTGATCATATCTATGATTTGGTTAGGTGTTCTCTCCAAGTTTTTAACATTGCTCATCATTAGTAGGGTGACAAACATCCCGCTTGCACAGGACATTTTTGACTGACATGGGAAAGTCAGTCAAGACTTACACTTGCTAACAACAACAGTAAGATCTGGTAAGTGCTGCAATGGGTAAGTGGTTGGCTGCTACCCAAAATGTTGGCAGTTCTAACCTACCAGTAGCTCCACAGGAGAAAAGACCGGCAATCTGCTCCTGCAAAGATTGTTGTTGTTACCTGCTGTCAAGTTGGTTCCAACTCATTGCAACCCTATGTGCAATGGAAAAACAGTGCAGGTTCCTGCACCATCCTTACAGTCATTGCTGTGTTTGAGCCCATTGTTGCAGCCGCTGTGTCAATCTATCTCATTGAAGGTCTTCCTCTTTTTGGCTGACACTGTACTTTACCAAGCATTGACATCCTTCTCCAGGGACTGGTCCCTCCTTAACATGTTCAAAGTGAGTGAGACAGAGTCTCACCATCCTCACTTCTAAGTAGCATTCTGACTTCTTCCAAGACAGATTTGTTCATTCCTTTGCAAGTCCGTGGTGTCTTTGCTATTCTTTGCTAACACCGTAATTAAAATGCATCAGTCCTCTTTAGTCTTCTTTACTCATTGTCCAGCTTTCGTACACATATAAGGTGTTGAAAATATGCCTTGACTTGCGTCAGGCACACCTCAGTCCTCAAGGTGACATCTTTGCTTTTGTAACATTTTAAAGAGGTCTTTTGCAGCAGCTTTACTCAATGCAATACCTCAATTTGATTTCTTGACTGCTACCCATCTGCCTTGATTTGGGTCCAAGTAAAATGAAATCCCTGACAACTTAAATATGTTCCGCATTTATCATGATGTTGCTTATCGGTTTAGTTGTGAGGATTTTTGTTTTCTTTATGTATGTTAAGATATGATCCATACTGAAGGCTGTAGTCTTTGATCTTCATCAGTAACTGTTTCACAAGGTTGTGTCATCTACTTATCACAGGTTGTTAATGAGGCTTTGTCTAATCCTGATGCCATGTTCTTCTTCATGTAGTCTAACTTTTCAGATTATTTGCTCAGCATGCAGAGTGATGAATAAGTGTGGTGAAAGGATACAACCCTGATGCATACCTTTCCTGATTTTCAACCACACATTTTGCACTTGTTCTGTTCAAATGACTGCCTCTTGGTTTATGTACAGGTTCCAGATGAGCACAATTAGGTGTTTTGAAATTGCCAGTTTTCACAATGTTATCCATAATTTGTTATGACCCACACAGTCAAATGCCTTTACATAGTCAATAAAACACAAGCATACATCTTTCTAGTATTCTGTGCCTTCAACCAAGAGCCATCTGACATAATAGTGATAGCCTTCTTTCCACATCCTCCTCTGAATCCAGTTTGAATTTCTGGCAGTTCCTTGTTGATGGACTGCTGCAACCAACTGTTTTTGATTTATCTTTAGTATAATTTTACTTGCTGGTGATATTAATGATATGGTTTGATAATTTCTGCATTCTGTTGGATCAATTTTCTTTGGAATGGGCACGAATATGGTTCTTTCTCAGCCAACTGGCCAGATAGGTGTCTTCCATATTTTTAGGCATAAATGAGTGAGTGCT